CTCCCCAAAATGGGGCCCCCTAGCTTTCTCCCGCTTGAAGCCGCTAGGGAGAATTTGCTGTATAAATGTCAAAACGTGGGTGTAGCCTACGACCAAAAAAAACAAAGGGTTAAAGGGAAAGGGGTTTTGGGGTATTTAAAAGGGGTTTGGAGGCAAATGTTGTGTTTTTATACGATAGCTTTAAACTGTTGTTTCTGGGGACCTCTGCAAAAACAGTATTATGTTGAGGGGAAAGTGTTGAATATGTGAAAGTATTTTCTTTTTGAGCATTTTTTTTCTTTTTTGGGCACCCCTGCCTTGGGGGGAGACGGGCCAAATTGTAAAAAAAAAAAAAAGTATAATAATTAATTTAATAAAAAAATACAGTGGACCCCCAATACCTACGCTCGCAACCCACAACCCCCTACTGGTCACTTTGATCGCAAAAAATTTGCCTCGAACCCCCCAAAAACCCGCTCACGCCCTTTGTCCGGACCGTCCAATGTGCGGCCTGACCAGCCCCATATGTTTTCCCCCGGTGGCTTGTTTACCCGCCAGCCCCGCGGTAAACCAAGCATACAAACGGAATATTTTTGTATTTCATGTTTTTCGGGGCTTTTTTTGGAAAATAAGTGACCATGGGCCCCCAAAAAAGCTTCTAGTTCCAACCCTACGCAATAAGGGTAGAATTTCCAAAGAGATGAAGAAAGAATCATTGATAAAATAAATGGAGTGCGTGTCGCCCACCTGGGCAGGGTTTTACAAAAAAAAATCAACCATCTCTACTATTTTGGGGAAAAGAAAGGGAACAAGGAAACTGTTCTTGCCAAAGGGTTTAACTGTGTTTCGAAAAAGAGATCGCAAGTGATGGAAGATGTTGAGAGACTCTTATTGGTGTGGATAAATGAAAAACAGCTAGCAGGAGATAGCGTTTCTCAAGCGATCATAAGCGAAAAGGCTAGGAAGTTGCATGAGGATTTAATTAAAAAAATGCCTGCAACTAGTGATGATGTGAGTGAATTTAAGGCCAGCAAAGGTTGGTTTGAGAGATTTAAGAAGCGTAGTGGCATACATAGTGTGATAAGGCATGGTGAGGCTGCCAGTTCGGACCACAAAGCAGCTGAAAAATATGTGCAGGAATTCAAGGAGTACATAGAAAGTGAAGGACTGAAACCTGAACAAGTGTTTAATTGTGATGAAACAGGCCTGTTTTGGAAGAAAATGCCAAGCAGGACCTACATTACTCAGGAGGAAAAGGCACTCCCAGGACATAAGCCTATGAAAGACAGGCTTACTTTGTTGATGTGTCCCAATGCTACTGGTGATTGCAAAGTGAAGCCTTTATTAGTGTATCACTCTGAAACTCCCAGACCGTTCAGGCAAAAGAATGTCCTCAAGGAGAATTTGTGTGTGCTGTGGAGGGCAAACAGTAAGGCATGGGTCACTAGGGACTTTTTCTATGACTGGTTACACCATGCATTTGCCCCAATGTGAAAGATTACCCAACTGAAAGAAATTAGAACTTAAGTGCCTCCTGGTGTTAGACAATGCCCCTGGTCATCCTACAGACGTGGCAGAGCGACTTTATGGGGACATGAAATTCATTAAGGTGAAGTTTTTGCCTCCTAATACCACTCCTCTCCTGCAGCCCATGGACCAGCAGGTTATTGCAAACTTCAAAAAACTGTACACAAAAGCTCTGTTTGAAAGGTGCTTTGTAGTGACCTCAGAAACTCAACTGACTCTAAGAGACTTTTGGAGAGATCACTTTAATATCCTCAATTGTGTAAACCTTATAGGTAAGGCTTGGGAGGGAGTGACTAAGAAGACCTTGAACTCTGCTTGGAAGAAACTGTGGCCAGAATGTGTAGACAAAAGGGATTTTGAAGGGTTTGAGGCTAACCCTGAGAGGATTATGCCAGTTGAGGAATCCATTGTGGCATTGGGAAAGTCCTTAGGGTTGGAGGTTAGTGGGGATGATGTGGAAGAGTTGGTGGAGGAGGACAATGAAGAACTAACCACTGATGAGCTGATAGATCAACTTCAACAGCAAGAGGCCAGACCTGAGGAAACTGGTTCAGAGGAGGGGAGAGAGAGAATTGAAGAAGTTGCCTACTACAAAGATTAAGGAAATCTGTGCAAAGTGGCTTGAAGTGCAAACCTTCATGGATGAAAATCACCCTCACACAGCTATTGCAAGCCGTGTTGGCAACCTGTACACTGACAATGTTGTGAAACACTTTAGGGAAGTCATAAAGGAACGAGAGGTACAGGCCACTATGGACAGATATGTTGTGCGAAAGAAGTCCAGTGACTCTGAAGCTGGTCCTAGTGGCATTAAAAGAAGAAGGGAAGTAACCCCAGAAAAGGACTCGACACCTCAAGTCTTAATGGAAGGGGATTCCCCTTCTAAACACTAACACTCTCTCTCCCCTCCTCCCATCCCATCAATCATCACCAGATCTTCAATAAAAGTAAGTGTCATGTAATTGTGCATGCCTTTTTCAGTTTGTGTGTATTAAAATTATCATTTCATGTGGTAAAATTTTTTTTTTTTTTCATACTTTTGGGTGTCTTGCACGGATTAATTTGATTTCCATTATTTCTTATGGGGAAAATTCATTCGCATACCGAACATTTCGCATAACAACCAGCCCTTGCATGGATTAAGGTCGCTATGCGGGGGTCCACTGTACATATAATAATAAATGTATAATAATAATGTACTATATAATAATAATAATTATAATAATAGATGGCTTCAGAAGGCTGTCACTAGATGGCAGTGATTACCTCAACAATGCGGGAGCGGTTGTGGCCGCCTCCACCTGTCACATAATGACGTATTTTATTCATTCTAGAGTATATATCAAGTTTCTATGTTATTTATATTGTTTATGTCATATCAGATAAACTGTGATAGATAAATAAGCTGTAGAGTTGATCTTAGCAAAATTATTCAAGAGTATTTTGTCCTGTCTCCTGACAAACTCTTGTCCGCCACCAATATCACTACACGAATGACATTTTATTCATTCTAGAGTATATCAGGTTTCTATGCTATTTATGTTGTTTATTATGTCATATGAGCTGAATTGTGATAAGATATACAGTGGACCCCCACATAACGATTACCTCCGAATGCGACCAATTATGTAAGTGTATTTATGTAAGTGCGTTTGTATGTGTATGTTTGGGGGTCTGAAATGGACTAATCTACTTCACAATATTTCTTATGGGAACAAATTCGGTCAGTACTGGCACCTGAACATACTTCTGGAGTGAAAAAATATCGTTAACCGGGGGTCCACTGTATAAGCCATAGAGTTGATATTTGGAAAATTATTGAAGTATTATTTTGTGCCTGAATTCCACGGGACTGGATTCATTCCATTTCAGTTAATTTAAATGAGGAAAATTGACTCTGCAAACGAGCAAATCCAGATGCGAGCAAGGTCACGGAAAGGATTAAACTCATAAGTAGAGGTTCCACTGTATACTGTATTTTTAAATACTTATACAGTAGTGTACTGTATATTGTAATAAACAGAATAGAGGGAATCAGCTCTAATGTACATTATTTAGGTATGCATACTGGTCTGAGAGCCCGTCATAAGTCTGAGTCATCGGTAACAAGTATGTCGCTAAGTGAGGAGAAGCTGTATTCATTTTGGACTAATTTTTAAAATGGAATTTTTAATTTTTATGAAATTGGCCAAATTACCGAATTCTGTGCACTCTGTAGGGTAGTTCTGATAGTAAAATGAGCATGTACTAGTCAGAGGAAAGCATATTATTGAAACAGCTAAGAGTTTGGTCAAATCAAGTAACAGAATTGACCTAAAGTAGGCAAAAATCGCTGATTTGTAAATTGTCCACAGAGTGCCAACATTGTACCTGTATAATTCTATAAGTTTTCCATCAAATTTTGTATTCTCAGTATCATTACCTTCAGAAAAAGATTCTCTGCCATTTCAGAAGATATTTTTTTTAATTCCTGACATTATCAGCACTTTTAATTTTGAGGGTTCTGACAGTGAAGGGGTTAAAAATTACAGTAGTTCAAAGGGGGCATGCTTAGCTCTTTCACAAAAAAAAATACTAAACCAATTTAGAACACAAAATTGACAAATTGATATCTACACACTTATGGTAACAATGCCAGCCCTCCTTATTTAGGATACACCAGTGCAGAAAGCTTGAAGCCTATTAAAAGAGACTTTCTCAAGTTACCATACAGAAACCAAAATCTGAAATATCTATGTACCATTGACCAGAGGGCATCTGCACATGCCAACAGCTGTATAAATCTTGCCTTAGTTACACTGTACCAGGATTGAAAATTTAAGCCATTCTGATGAGTTATTCTCAGGTTATAAATGAAAACTTTGGAGCAAGAAAAAAAAAATCTAGGCAACCACTTAAAAGGGTGAGACCCTTCAGGGATACCTAATTATAAAAAAAATAAATCAAGAATAAGATTTCTGCAAAAGGGGAATTCAGAGAATTTTGTTGTATAAATTTCAAGTTTAGAATTCCAAGAATTAACCAATATGAACATTGTGTTACTGTATTCTGCATTTTGCCAATTAATATGAAATTAATTAATTAACTTCAGTATTACAAGAATATTTATGGATTCTCCCAGGTTAAAACTATGCCAGGTACCCTAATTAATGAAAATAATACTGTCAAATGTGCTGACAATTTGTATCCTATATGGAATAACTATTACTGCACAGGTAAAAATTATATGTACCCATATTATATGGCTTATAAAAATTAGACAATTATGGCAGCATCCATTCAAAGGTTTACAGAGAAAACTAATAGGATCAACATGGAGATAGTGTGTCTGGTGGCTATTGTACTGAAACTTATGAAGTCATTACAGTAAATGAAAAATTGGTAGCTATTAGAATACCACTGTATATCACAAACTACTGGCTTTAAATTATTATACAACTTCCCTTAACCAATGTCACCGGTGGATGTCAACATAGCAGAAGTAAACAACTTACCTTGTGAGATATTTATGTTTCTGTAAAGCTTGTTCTGTTGCAGCAGCAGCTCCCAAAGGGAATCCAGAGTCAGGTTCAAGTCTTCACTGTTGGGTCTCAAAAACATATCCTCATCGCCCTTTTGACTAGCATTCACCTTTATCAAAAATTCTCTTAGTTTATCAACTTGTCTTGGCAGATTCGTACTACCATTATCCTGCACCGTCACCCCAAATACATTATCAGTTTCATTAGTTTGTGATGAAACAGTATTAGACATATTTTTACCTACTTGAGGGCCATCATTTCTTTCTGTCTGTTTATGTCTAAAGAAATTAATCATTTGAATAAATGAATCCTGGCCATCAGTTCTAACAGAAGAATTTATATTCTCTTCATGCATAGATAATGATGAAAGATCAGTTTTATATCCCATGTAACCAAGTTGGGGCATATCCTCTGTGGTGTTCACAGCACCATATGATCCACCTTTCAAGATATTATATAAGTGGATTAGGGGCTTTGAATCATCTTGAAGCTCATTTATTAAGTAACTTATATCTCCACCTGACCTCATCTTTTCTATTTTTTCAGCCAGATTAAACACTTTGTTTCTCAGAGATTTTAGCCTCTCAAAAAACTTTTCTGGGAGCAACTCCTCCACTTCTTGAACAGTGGTATTTTCAAGTAAACTGGGGGAGGTAATAATATTCACAGTCACATTTCTTATCTTTCTCAATGGAACTCTCTGCACCAGGGGATAGTGTGTTGTAGTTTCAGACATAATTTTATGATACTTGGGTTCCTCATCCAATGGAGAAACTATTCTGGAATGTGATGCTGTGGATACTGCCCCTTCAGCAACTGTGGCCATATGGAATTGAACATGATCTACCTGGGCACAAAAATGGTATTAATATTTTCATATGTATTTTATTAAATCAATGAAAAAATAATAATTTCAAACAAACACAACCTACATATGTAAGTCAAATCAGTCATGCAAAAAGAAAAAGTTTAACAAGGGGACATTATGAATTAGTGTGTTCATTATGTAAGCTGAAACATGTTAGCTTTTCATTGAACTCTTAATTCAGTTACAAGTTAAATGAAGATAGTAGACAACATTGTACCAGAAGTTCCCATATTCAAAATTTTGAGCAATTCCCTGGTGAAATATGCCAGCAGCATAGATCAAGCTGTGCAGCACACTGCTTTGTGAAGTAATGTGCTGAGTCTCAGTGCAGTCAAACATTCTGATGAGGAAGAGGCATTTTTTTTCCTCGTTTAAGCATGTTGTGATTTTTTGTGTAACAGAATGGAAGCTTTAAAAGAAAGAACAGTGTGTATGTGTGTGTGTGTGTGGTGTGAAATTCTGTTTCAAGCTCAGTAAAACGGCTAGTAAAACTCACAAAAATGCTTCAAAAGACACTGTTTTGAAGACTTTTCTCGATTCAAAGTAGGACAAACATCAGTTGATTATGAATGCTCTGATCATCCATCAACACAAAAAAACAGACGCCAACATTAAAAAAGGAGGAAGGCTATTCACGAAGATCATTAGAGTATCCAAAACACTGCAAGTGCTGTGGGAATTTCTTATGGCTTGTGTCAAAGAATTTTGACTGAAAATTTGAACACAAGGCAAGTCGCTACAAAATCTGTGCCCAGCTTGCTGACTCAAGACCAGAAGGAACATAGTTTTCTGGCAAAAAACATGGTGGTCATCCACCACCCTCCCTCTTTCCTAAATCCAGCCCCACCCCACCCTCCCCATGACCTCTTTCTTTCCCCAAGGGTCAACATTTTAATGACGATGAAAAGGAAAGAAGATTTCCACAAAATGTTTTGAGAAGGGGGAAAGGTGCTGAGATCAGTGTATAGCCTCTTAAGGAGAGTACTTGAGGTAGACAACTTCAACTAGGTGATTATGAAAGCCTATACATTTTTCCTGTGGCAGTTTGGGGAACTTTCTGATAGTACCTCATAGTACCTGGCAGCACACTAGACCAACAGACATACCCAAGTGCTACTGGGGATCTGTGAAAAACTTGCTTTGAACCAGCAAGTAACAGAACCTACTAGCAACGAAAATTCCCTAGATTCTGTTCCAAACAATTAAGACCTACAGCAATCAGAGTCAAATACAGATTACACCAATCACATCCTTGCTGAAGTATATAGACAAGCATAAATTCATGTGTAAGGAACATAAGAAATAGCCAATATGCAGGGAAGTTCAATAATTTTTACTTCAACAATAATAAGTGACTGGGAAAAAATGAAAAACAATCAAACATTGCTGGGGAAATAATCCTGATCACCTTCACCCACACCAGTGTACATAAAATTTGGATACAGAAGCATAAGGGATCTGTATAAAAGTTCCTACAATATGTAAGCTTAAAGGTTTCTGTAGCTTGCCCAAAATGATTTGCATAAGTGACTTTCTTTTGAGCATGCATCTGTTATTATAACGGTACCAAAAGTCTCTTGCTGTAATTGGTGCTGTTGTCATTCTTGCCCAATATACTTCTACTGTTGACTATTAGTGTAATGATTGCTGATGTCAAATAAAGCATATCTGTTTAACCCTTTCAAGGTTGGTGCCTTACTAGTACAGCTTGCACGCCAGGGTTGGCGTCATACTAGTACGTATAAATTCTAGCGCCTTCAAAACTAGCGAGAAAAAGCTGGTAGGCCTACATATGAAAGAATGGGTCTATGTGGTCAGTGTGCACAGTATAAAAAAAATCCTGCAGCACACAGTGCATAATGAGAAAAAAAAACTCTGACCAAGTTTTTGCTTTAAAACAGCAACTTTGTGGTGTATTTTTGTATACTATTTATGGTTATATTCTAATTTTCCTGGTCTCATTTTATAAAATGGAAGACACATTACAGAAATTGAGATGACTTTGATTGATTTCACAATGAAAAGTACCTTGAAATTGAGCTCAAAGTAGCAGAAATGTTTGATTTTTGCCAAAGTTCAAAAGTAAACAGATCATGCCACGCGTCCAATCCACATCAACTGGCGAGTCTAATATTCTTTCACAAGTGCGCTGATATTATTTATACCATTTTTACAATAATACAGTAGTCTGCATAACAGTAAATCTTCTATTTTTTTGTGAGAATAAAAATTCAAAGTGGAAAGCAAAAGAAATGTAAGAGAGGCCTGGGGATGTGACTAATGAACAGAAAAAATGTTGTTTTAGTGCCAGGAATGTCTGTCTTGTTTATTCTGGACCCTATTTGGAAACTGGCATCTTTTGAAATTTGTGTGAAATTGGCAAAATTGCCAATTTCTTACCACTTTATTGGATAGCTGAAATCGGTAAATGGGTGGTTTCTTGTTCTCATTCGATAGAATATTGGAGTTCTAGCGAAATAGTTATGATTTTTGTCGACTGGTACATTGGAATTGGCCAAAAATAGGGCTCAAAGTGGGCGAAATCATCGATGCATAAACATTGTCAAGACCGCTAACTTCGCGAGAGCATAATTCTGTAAATTTTCCATCAAATTTCATATTTTTGGTGTCATTATGACCGGGAAAAGATTCTCTATCATTTCATTAGATTTTTTTTTTTTTTTTTTAAATTTTCAACCTTGAGAACGAGTTTAGGAGAGGGTCTGTCAACTGTGAAAGGGTTAACGTGTAAAATCTTGTTTAAATGCTACACAATTTCTAAAAAAAACCTTCACAGAATTAAATAAATAAATAAATAATTATATATATATATATATATATTATATATATATATATATATTATATATATATTATATATATATATATATATACAGTGGACCCCCGCATAACTATCACCTCCAAATGCGACCAATTATGTAAGTGTATTTATGTAAGTGCGTTTGTACGTGTATGTTTGGGGGTCTGAAATGGACTAATCTACTTCACAATATTCCTTATGGGAATAAATTCCGTCAGTACTGGCACCTGAACATACTTCTGGAGTGAAAAAATATCGTTAACCGGGGGTCCACTGTATATGCAAAACAACCACTCTGAAATCACCTGTTTACTATGATCTTATTGCATATATATATATATATATATATATATATATATATATATTATATATATATATATATATAAATAATATATATATATATATATATATATATATTATATATATAAAATATAAATATATATACACCTACCATCCGACTTACGACCTGCTCGACTTACAACCACTCGACTTACGACCGTGTTTTTTATGTCAAATTTCTGGGAAATAAACAACTATTTGTGTTGTACACAGTGTTTATCCTAAAAACCTTACAGTATAAAATACAGTACTAACAACATAAAAAGTAAAGTAAAACATGAAATACCAAAATAAAACAATTAAATAAAGTTATTACAAAAATGTTTTGTTGATATTCAGTAGTAAAGTTCGACTTACGACCATTTTGACTTACGACCGGTTTCTCGGAACCGAACTCGGTCGTAAGTCAGATGGTAGGTGTATATAATATATATATATATATATATTATATATATATATATGTTAGGTAGTATGGTTGGTAACAGCAACGCCCAGGGAGGTACTACCGTACTGCCAAGTGAGTGTTAAAACGAAAGCCTGTAATTGTTTTACATGATGGTAGGATTGTGGTGTCCTTTTTTCTGTCTCATGAACATGCAGATTATCAGGTACGTCTTGTACTTCTACTTACACTTAGGTCAATACTTACTATGTACATCTAGACAATATATACACACCCCTCTGGGTTTTCTCTATTTTCTTTCCTAGTTCTTATCTTGTTTATTTCATCTTATCTCACATGGGAGAAGTGGAACAGAATTCTTCCTCCGTAAGCCATGCGTGTTGTAAGAGGCAACTAAAAAATTGCCGGGAGCAAGGGGCTATAACCTCTTCTCCTGTATATATTACTAAATGTAAAAGGAGAAACTTTCGTTTTTCCTTTTGGGCCACCCCGCCTCGGTGGGATACGGCCGGTGTGTTGAAAGAAAGAAAGATATATATATATATACAGCAGGGCCCCACTTATACAGCAGGTTAGGTTCCAGGCTACCGCCGTAAAGCGGAAACCGCCGTAAAGTGGAACACCCTTTTTTTCCACTTATAAATGCATACAAACACTAGATAACAAGTTTACACTAACATATATTAAGTTAGCAATAGAACCAGGCATCAAAAAACAACAAAAAAGTACAATACACACATAGTGCACTCATTACTTACCTTAAAATATTTAGTCTTAATCTAGGGTGAGACAAGTAGTATTTATTGTAAGAAATCAAGTGTGGTATGTATGGTAATCAGCCAGGCTACCTTACCAGGCCACCCCACCCACACATACTATTCTATGATATTTAAGCATCCCAGAGCGATAAAATGTATATACAGTTCACTCATTACTTACCTTAAAATATAGGGTGATATGAGTAGTATTTATTGTAAGAAATCAAGTGTGGTATGTATGGTAATCAGCCAGGCTACCATACCAGGCCAACCCACCCACACATATATTCTATGATATTTAAGCATCCCAGAGCGATAAAATGTATATACAGTTCACTCATTACTTACCTTAAAATATTTGTAGTCTTAATGTTGGGTCAGGAGTAAGTAAATGAGATAAAACGAATAAATGAGAGAGAAAAAGAATGAGTACATGAGAGGGGACAGGCGCAGAGTTATGTAAACAAACCAGGCGAACGTAAGTTTTGTAAACAAACTAAGTGTACATGTCTGGTTTGTGTACAAGTTACATTGTGTACAGGTTGTCTCTCTTGATACGGTAAATAAATAAAGAAAACACTCCCATTTCATGTAACATATTTTGGAAGAAATGAAGCTTGAGTGAAGGCAAGGGAAATAATCAACTGATTTTTTTGGGGTT